CCTCCTCCCTGGCTGGGCAGCAGTGTGTGGCCTGCAGAGGGGTACTGCTGCCCTTGCCCCCCCCGGCCCTGCTCCTGGGAGCAGGCACAGAGTGAGCTCAGATGGGGGGCTGGCAGTGCCCCTCGCTGCTTCGCCACTGCACCCCAGGGCACACTCTGTTCCCCACACCTCTCCCCACCTGCCCAGGCTGAGGGAGGGAAAAGTGTTGGGGAAAGCCCCACCAGCTGGCTGGTGCCTGGCAGGCACTCCATGTCTTCCCCCAACACATCCTCGCTCCCTCAGCCAGCTTCCCCCCAGCAGCGGTGATGTGGTGGCTGCCACGTGTGAGCTTCCCCCCTTCCCTGGCCGGGCAGCACGTATGTGGCCTGCAGAGGGGCACCACTCCCCCCTCCACCTCACCCAGGAGCAGGCGCAGAGATGCACTCCTCCCCCATTCTCAATCTATGCTCCTAATCCCTTCCTTTCCCCCCTGTCCCCTCCCGCACACCTACCTGCTGGGGTGTATGTGTATGTCTTGTGTGCGTGTGTTTGTCTGTGTGTCTGTGCCTGTGCCTGCGTGTGTGGGGCTGGGAGCTGTTGTGGGGGGAGTGAGGGGCACTAGCGGGGCCTTTAATTTTTATCACGGATTTTGGATTTTTTATCAGAGAATTTGTCATTTTTTATCAGGGAAAAACAGGATCCCTGCTTGTGGCATGGAGAGAGATTAACAGGAATCAGGGAAATGATACATGAGCCAGGAAGTCAGTTGGCTCTTGGCATTTCCTGAATAGAAGTGCTGCTGCCCCATCCTAGGCAGTTGGTTTTAATGTTTGGGTGGAGTGGGATTTGGGTAGATTGCACCACTGTCTCCTCCCCACCAGCCATCAGTTTGTTTCAGTTTTAAACTAGTCTTCAGCTCCAGTCCCATGCTCCCCACCCCTTCCCATGCCACCGGCTTCTGTTTTAATAGCTTGAAATATGAGGGTTGGCAGCTTCTTGCTTGTACTTTTTATTTTGTTCGCAAGCAACAGCATTTGTTTGCTTGCAGTATTGTGGACATACCACAAAAACATCTTGCTGCAGTCCCATGGCAACACCAGCTGTTGTGTTCAGTGGGTCAGTTTTATTTTTGGGGGTCTCAGGAGGGAGAATCCCATGTTGTTACGTTGTCAAAGGAGTAGAGTTGCTAGTAAGATTTCCCTTGTTTGCCACTGCAGTCCAATGTCAGTGGTCTGTGATATGTCAAAATAGTGTATTTATGTTTTAAAATAAGGGCTGGAGATGGCCCTTTCTGCACCTTGTTGGTAGTTGGGTGACATTTAGCTTCCTCAGTTCTTGAATTCCTGGGGATACGCTGATCAATAAACCAAGTCTTAGTCACTGAATGGACCGCAGGGGTGTGAATAAAAGGTGACTCCTTGCCAAACTAACAGCAAGACACTCGACCTTGAGTGTGGTGCCGACACTAATTAGTACCACTGCATGCATGGTTTGCTGCATATACCTGTTCTTCTACATTGTTATAAATATTTATAGCCTTAAAACTTCAGTGTGTTCTAATCTTATAATAGTTTGTCACTTTTATTGAGGTCAGTAGCAGTCTTATTGGCATAAAGACTAATGGCCAAATCAAGGTCTCTGCTTTTCCTGAAGGCTCCTAATTAGAATGCTAATTTCAGATGTGTGGCAGTGTTCACATACTGTAAATCCTGCTGTATGCCCATGAATGACACCAAAATCATAATCCAAGAGAATACCCTTTGAAAAACAATAAAACTAATCCATGATATAGTTTGATTCCTAAATGTGTTTTCAATGTGGCTGATGCATGTGGTCACTTGAAACAGCCTTGTTGCTTTCCCTTACCTTTCACATGGTCATGTGAATCTGATGATACAGTAGTTGAAGATTATAAAATAACATTCCTGAGAAATAAAACCTATTTTCCCCAAAAGAGCAATATCTTCCCATTGGCTGACCATGCCTGGTGATAGTAAAGGAGTAAAACTGTTAGATTAGATGTGACCAATAAGTATGGAACAGTGCAAATGGTTCGGGAAATCTAAAACTCCTGTCCAAGACCAGTCAGCTTGGTTGCTATACAACAGGGACGTCAAACTCATCCGGCCCCCTTCCCTCTCTCCCTCCCTTAGGATACCTGATCTGATGGCTGCTTCTGCCAGTCTGGGACCTGCATTGTGTGTGGTGTGGACCCTGGAGCAGCTGGAATGGGCACTGGGTACAGTTCCTGAGCTGCACCCCACATGGTGCTTGCCAGTCCAGGACCTGCGCTATACACGGTGCTTGTGAGCACCACATGCAGCACAGGTCCTGAACCGGGTGGAGGGGGCTCTTTAACGTAGTGCATGTTCCGGAGTAGGTGCTGTATGGAACAGTTTGGCTGGGGCAGCCCCCATGTGTAGCACAGCTGCCACGTTGGCCAGACTATGGCACCCATTCTGGATGCCCTGGGATCTGCACTACATGCAGCTTGGGTCCCAGATGAGTATAGTGAGTGTAGCAGCTGCTGGAGAGAGAAATGAAGGGGCTGGGTGGTGAGCGGGGAGGGAGTCTATGGGTCCAGTCTAGCCACGGGTGTGTACCATTCCCTATGTGGGTCTTATCATACCCAGGGACAACACTGGGCAACGGATGGTGAGGCTCCACAGGCTGAATCCAATGTACAGGCTGAGCCGTATGTTTGAGATGCAGTATATGCTGTTCAGTGTTTTCAGAGCTGCTTAGTCTCTGGAAGGACAAGGGAAGCAGCAGGTACGTAAATGGAATTGGACTTGGTGCAATTTAATTGTAAGTGCCTCTCTTTAGGAAAAAAGTAACATTAACCCATTGCACATAACAGCTGGTGTTGCAATGGGACTGAAGCAAGATGTTTTTGGGGCATATCCATGATACTGCAAAGTGGACTGTGTAACTTGGGAACAAATTAAAAAGTACAAATGAAGATTTGCTGGCTTTTTTATTTTAAACTCTCTTAAAACAAGCCCGTGGCGGGGAGAACTGGAGTTGAGGACTGGTTTCAAGCCAAAAAAAAACCTGACAGCAACCCAGAAATTTAACAATGTAACTATAACTAACTAACTGTTAACAGCACTTCCTGAAGTCAGATTGAAATAGCACATAGTATTATGGAGTTTTTGTCTTAAAATTGTCATGGTCATGTACAGTGGTTACAGGTGAGTGGAGCAGACTTGATTTTCATTTGTGCTATGCTCCAACTTACATCTACTTTGCAAGAACAATTTTTTTAGTGTAGCTCCTAAATGAACTCCTATCTTATATTTATATTTATTTTTTTCTTATCCATATTTGAATATATAAATGTTTTATTTCTTTAGCATTTCTTTCATCATGAGTTCTGAATTAAATGTTCCAGTGGATCCTTCCACCCCTGCTTGCTGCTCTGAGCCAGGCACAAAAGGCATGGATTATCGGGACTGGGTCCGGCGCAGTTATCTGGAACTGGTCACTTCAAATCATCACTCGGTCCAGGCCCTGTCATGGAGAAAACTCTACTTGAGCCGAGCCAAGCTCAAAGCATCCAGTAGAACATCTGCTTTGCTCTCTGGGTTTGCTATGGTAGGTTTTTTTAACTGCTGGATTCTGAAATGAGGGGTTTTGTAAAACCTTGCTCTATTAATCAGGTTTGTTTTCTGTATGTGGGACTCATCATTTTTTAAATAAGGTAGCAGGGCATCTAAATGTGGGTTTTGCTTAGCTGCTGTTGCATAAGTTTTGAGGTCAGCTTTGTTGGTTGGTGTATGAGCTACCTGGAAATCATCTCATGATGCCCACAAGCCACGCTTCTAAAATAGTGACTGTGCTGGGGTGACAATGTCAAGAGTCTTGGTGTAAATTTAGCAGTTGCATCAAGTGCTGGAATGATACACCTTTCCTTTATCTTGCCTCTAGATTTTGCTTATTGGTAGCTGAAACTGGTACTCCAGTCTCTTATACTCAGCAAATGTGTATAGTGGTAGGGGAGGCAGAAACACCACTTAGGAAAAGTAGAGACCTGGCCTGTTCTTTGAATGTGCCTGTACATGTGTGTGGGTAAGGGAGAAGTCAGTGTTGCAACAGTGATGGCAGGGAGGGCAAGACATGGAGAATTCTTGGTTTGTTTTTAGGCTTCCTCTTCCACTTATGAATCTTTTTTTTTTTAATTTCCTGATAGTAAATTTGTTCTTTGGTTTGCAGGTATTTTTCTTTCTGAGTTGGCGGAAGAAGGCTTTTTTATTTTCCGCAGACTAATTCCCTCCGCTTTTTCCCTCCCCCCCCCCCCACCCCTTAGGTGGGTTTTTGCTTTCTGTTTTTAACAAGAGAGGAATTGTGTATATCAGTCATTCTCAACTAGGGTGCTAGGGCACTCTAGGGTGCCTTGGGATCCTTTCAGAGGTACCACAGGATGCCATGTAATATTATCACTGTTAGGTGTATAAAAATAATTCACAAGATAAACCAAGACATTTCAAATAGGAAGCCACAGTGTTAAAATTATTCTGATATGTTGTCTTTCTGAGTTTTTGCAACAGATGGATTGCTCTATTATTTTTCTGTAGTCAAAAACTAAGTGAAAACTAAGCATTGGCATTTTCCAAGAGGCGCCTTGAGTCTATCCAGGGCTGCCTCAAGTCTAAAAAGGTTGAGAACCACTGGTGTATATGCATGCATATATCCATATCATATGTATTTCAATTTATAATGTATTCTGCATTCTGAAGTAGCAGATGGAAACTTCTAATTGTGAGACGGTTCCCATTAATTGATCAGGTATTTTTTTCTCAGCCTCTGCTGAACAGCGGGTTTTCTTGTGCTTAGAATTAATAGTTAATATGCTGGTTCATAGTGTTTAAAGATGGACCTTTTACTTTTTAGTAGTGTTGCCAAGACTGTTACATGGTTGTGGAAACAGGATTATGTGGTAAGATTATTGTTGTTATCCCAGCCTGTGTGAGAAGTCATTAGGACTTTGCGTGAGCTTGCGGTCTGCCAGTGTAGTTACATTTGCAGGATTGGAAGCCAGTCTTCAGTCTGAGAACAAAATACTTCAGGAGGCTGAGAAGAACAGAGAACAGTGGAAAATTCTCCGAACATACACACTATAAACCATCTCACTTCTATTTATGACGTATTTCTGAGGTCTTTAGATGTCTGCTAAAATTACCCAATACAATTTATGGTATTTGATTAGTCTGTGAAGCATTCTTGCTCCTGTTAAAGTCTTTACAACAGTTAGACTGAAAAGTCTAAAGTTGACACCAGCAAGTCTTGCTTTTTGAGAGAGATTTTCAAACTGTTGAGAGCAAATAGTCCAAGCTGACCAAGACTTATATCCTGCATAGGAAATTGAATCTCCATTCTTGCATGTTATTGTATTTACCTGAATCCAAGGCAACTTAGTATTTAAGATGACCCCCCCCAATAATTAGATTTTATACATGAAAAATTATAAATTAATTATAATTTTACATGTATTTAATCTAATTATTGGAAGGTTGTTATAATTTCCCCCCCCTAAAGCAGCAGTGGGGAGAGGTGGGGAGGGCAGATCCCTGCCACTTGCTGCCTGCTTTCCTCCCCATTTCTGTCCTCCCTCTTGTGCATTTGTCTCCCACACCCCATGCCTGTGCCTGCCATCTGTTGCTCCCCCTTCCCCCTCCCCCTCTGGGTGGCTCTGGTTCTGGGGCAGTCAGAGGCTATCAGCAGCTGCAGTGGCCCCAGCAGGGCACCAGCAGCAGCTCTGGGTCAGTTGGCGCTGGAGCTAACGGTAAGCAGCAGCGGGGAGGAGTAGTGAGGTAGTGACAGGCTGCAGGTCTTCCCCACACTTCCCTCTCAGTCTCCCCTGTACTTTCACTGCCACATGCCACCAGCCCTGCCCAGGGCAGGCGGTGGCTGAGCTCTGGCTTTTACTCCAAGCCTGAGGCCAAAGCCAGAGCTCAGCTGCCTTCTGTCCTGGGCCAGTACTCAAGTCTAAGACGAGACCTTTTCTCCAACGTTGGTTGTAAGTGTGTGTGTGTTGGGGGGAAACCTTGTCTTGGATTTGAGTAAATATGGCACTTGGTGTTTTCTTTGGAAACCTGATATTCAGAATATAAGAATTTCCTTAAAATGCATCATTTTTATTAATGATAAAACTGGACATTTCAGTTATGCTATCGTATCAGCACCTAACTTACCTCTGCTGCAGTAGTTCATTGGTCAAATATTTGTTGAGCAGGTTGGGTGCTTTATTCCAAGAGAGACATCAGTCTGGCTGCTGCTGAAAGTACATAAGTTCTTCATAGTAAAATAAGTTCCCTAAAGACTTGTGTGTATTTAAATATGTAAAGAAATATGATAGCAGACTATGGTATATAGACTTGTTTACCTCTCTGTTGTTATTTCCAATTTAAGTTAGAGCAGTATTGGCTGAAAATGATTACCAGCCAAGGCTATTTAATGAACTAGGTAAACAGGCTGCTGTTGATTCAGTTCATATTGGATAGACACCCACATAACACAAACCTTGATCATTCGTTGGTGGTTTCACTTCTTGGCAAAGGAGGGAATAGGTCCAAAAGATGCAGTGCCTCTCTTTCTCATTGTAATCCCCCTGCGTCTTTTTTGAGGCGGACTGTCAGGATATGGAGGAAGGTGTGCATTGCCTTGTGGGTGTTGCAAATGGAGGAACTCTTTTTCCTTTGCTCTTGATCTAGTATTTTTCACAGAAATCTCTTGAATCATTTCTTGGCCAAGAGAAGAGCTGCTTTTGCAGTCAGTCTTCTCAGCTTGTTTTCAAGTTGCTCTGAGGTTTGTATGTTTGGTTATTTTTTTCCAACAGATCTACTGGACTGACTGTTTGTAGTGACTGCCAAGCCATCTGCCTAATGCTAACAGATATTTGTGTTGAGACATCAGCATCTTGCTCCTCACCCAGCTTTAGTCTTCACCCAAACTTCCACAGATGAGTGTTCTCCGATATTGTACTGTGGAGAATCAAGGGGTCATATTGTACTGACCGTGAAGAAACAGAACAAGGACTTGATCCTTTAGGAACCTGAGCACTTTGTTCCAATTTAGTAAAGCATGCAAGTGTCTGCTCAAATTAAAATGAATGAGTAATTCCATTGATTTCAGTGATGCATCTGACAAGCTTAAAATTAAGGCTTTGCTTAAAAGTGCTCAGTGTATTTTAATAGAATTAAATGCTCGGTATCTCTGGCTAGGTTTACAGGAGTGGGGTGCCATGGAAAGTCCAAGTGTTACATTTGGACACAAGCCTGTATTAACTATGATGAGAGCCCAATGACGCCCGCAGTTTAGGAACCCTGTGGCGACGCAGTCCCCATAGCTCTTGCCAGCCCTTCTGTGATACTGTTTGAAAAAAGGAAATTGCAGCCTCCTTTGTGGCCTAGACCATAAATTTAAGGATTTATCTAATCCTGCCCCTGCCTCTTCTAAGGTCAGAGCTCCCTTTCTCTCTGATATTTGCCTCTAGAAACTACTCCAGCTGATGGTTCCAAAACTCTGTCCAGGTCATCTCAAATGTCAAGTATTCTTTTGTTTTACAGAATGAGAGAAAAAAAAAAAAAGCTAGGCATAAGAAAGTTGTTTAAGTGACTGATGGGAACTAGGCTGAGCTGCATATATTGAAACACATTTACCATGTTTCCAGTGTATTGCTAGTTTGTTGTTTTATTTTGATCCTGGGTGGAGAACCACATGGCATCCTTCTTAGGAGAAAGTGCTAAGATGAAATCACACTTGTCTAATTCTTGTTTTGGCTAACACAATATTCCCTGCTTTACTTTCCCATCTCTCCCTCTTCTCTTCCCTCAGGATTGTTGTTTACTCCTGAAATGCCTCTCACTGAGTCATCAATCAATCTTAAAGATTCATCAGAGCACATCATGGAAGCCACCCTTAGGGAATATGTTGGTATGAGGGGAAACATCCAATTAACTGCAAGCTGGTGCCTGTACCAGTGTAACAAGTAGAACTTGTACCAGCCAAGCTCATTGCTTTAGTACAAAGCCATAAATTGAACATACAGATAAGGCTCTTATTCAGCATGCAAAATGTTAGGTCCTTGGGGAACTGTGCCCTCCTGAAATACCAGGGTGATCAACCCATGCCTGCTCTGTGTGGCACATAAGCCCCAGGTGCATCCATTCGAGTGCGCTAGGGCACCAACTCTATCAGGAATACCTCTAGGGCTCAGGGATCAGAGTGGTACCTGGGGAGTGTCAGGGCTTAATTTATGGCCCTATGACCAAAAAAGGTGGCTACCACTGAACTATATAATTGCTCTAATCTAATGCAGCAGCATTGACAGTAGAACAGCCAAATGTAATACAGGGGTCTCTCTCTTTTTGCTTTTTTTTATTTTAGAGCTCAAGTAATTGAGGACTGACATTCCTCTTCCTGAATTAATATGGAGGGAATTGTAGAGAGAGAACCTCTACAAGGCATTTCTACAAGTGTAACTTGGGTGCTCAACCCTGGGCCTTCAGGCCAAATCCAGAGCCATGGCATCTGGCCTGTAGGGATCCCCGTGAGTTTCTCCCCCTGCATAGCCAGATCAGGGCTGGCTCCCTGCAGCTCCCCCCCCAGCCCCAGCCAGCTGGATGAGGCGTACCAGTGGAGCCCATCTGGCTTGTGGGGCAAAAAGTTTGAGCACCATGGTGTAACTTTATTGTGACTAAAAAAGATCATGCTGGAACTAATGTTTTCATTAATCCTGTGTAGTTCTTAGTTTCCTCTTGCATTTGAAGGGAACTCGCTAACAGTATATATACCAGAGGAAGTAATCTGGTGGTATTGTGCAGATACTGATATAGCTATTCGAGATCTGTCTCAGATGCAAACTTTATAGAAGTAGAGGGGTGTGGAATCTATTTGTCTGGCGCTAAACCAGGCTGTTCCTTGTACCTTTCTTACACATCCACAAAGTACTAAGGGTGCTCCTGACTGGGACTGATCTGTTGCTAGTGTGCAAAAACCAGCCATGTTTTGACACCCTTGTACATACGGATATTGATGGCAGGGCCCTGTTGAAATATAATACCAGGTCAAGTATGACCCCATGTACTTGTTTTTCCTGTCTGCTGTTGACATGCCTCATTAAAACCACTATAAAATCAATAAATGTACCTGCAGATGGATCTTAATCTGCTAAATTTACTGGCAGAGACATTCAGTACCCAACTGCTGTTTTCCAGAGATAATTACCAGTGTAATGTGTTTGATGTATATAGATTCTCTTAGCTGAAGATTTTCTGAGTGCTATACAAACGTGAAATTTCACAACAAACCTGAGACATGTATGCTAAATATTTCCCTTGCTTTGTAGAGGGAAAAGCTGAGGTGGAGAGAGGTTAAGTGAGATGTCCAAATTGACACAGTTAGCCACTAGCAGAACTGGATTGGAACTTGAGTGCTGATTCCTGGGTCTCTGCTTAATTAGACCTGTGCCTAACTTCATGGTGAAAATCAAGAGTGTATGTGCAAAACAATTATATCGGGTTTATAAATTTAGCCTCCAGGAAGCTATTTCAGTAGAGTACTTTGGAAATAAAAAGCTGTTGTGGAATTACCAAACAGATAACTAGCTGTAATTCATTTCTACTGAGTACATACAAGAGTTATTGGAAAATGAGAGAGAAACTTTAGCCATGTTTGTAGTAACAAGGCTTTAAAATGTCCTGGGAATAGGAGGCACTCATTTTAACCAAGAAGTAGTTATCAAATAGCTTGTTAGCTTTCTAGGGAAGGGAGTGACAGCTTTCTCTGACTTCATTCCTTATGTACCAGAAATTAACTTCTGCCTTGTGACTGCTAACATTGAAAACGGAAGAAGTTACGTATATGATGATCTCCAGAGTTGTTTTTATCTGAATCAAAGTTACGTTTCACTGTCTAAAGAATTCCTCTTTTTGTGGTTTTAATTTGACACAATTCATACAAGTCAGAGGCATGATGAGATTTTGCTATTATAAAATGAAAACCAACCCTGCAAAGTTGAAATAATTTCTGATGTTTTTGGACATAAATTTAATGTTTTTGTGGAAGGGAAAGATATAGGCTATATGTACATCTTTATAGAAAACAAGAATTTCCCATTTAGGCCCCAGTTCAGGAAAGCATTTAAGCATATGTTCAAGTTAAAGCACCTTCCCTAAAGAAGGATACTTTCCTAGCCTTGAAAAGTGAAATGTGGAAAATGTACCAGCTATTCATGGTTGGTTTTTTGAATTTTTTTCCCCAGGTCGCCATGGTGGAAGTGCAGTTAGAGATGCAGTATAAGTATCCCCAAATGCTGCTGATTGCTTTCAGTGCCTGCACAACAGTGCTGGTTGCAGTTCATCTCTTTGCCCTTCTCATCAGCACCTGTATACTACCTAATGTGGAAGCAGTAAGTAACATCCACAACCTGAACTCTATCAGTGAATCCCCACATGAGCGCATGCATCTCTACATAGAGCTGGCTTGGGGTTTCTCTACAGTCTTAGGAATCCTCCTTTTCCTTGCTGAGGTTGTGCTTCTCTGTTGGATAAAATTTCTGCCTGTGGACTCCATTATGAAAAATGAGACTACCATCATTCAGCAGCCCACTGGCCATGCTGGCTGGCAAGCAGCACTGGTTTCTACCATCATCATGGTGCCAGTGGGTCTGATTTTTGTGGTCTTCACCATCCACTTCTACCGGTCTCTTGTCCGGCACAAAACCGAGCGCCATAACCGGGAGATCGAAGAGCTTCACAAACTGAAAGTGCAATTAGATGGACATGACAGAGGGCTGCAGGTGGTGTGACAGGAGCAGATACAGAATCAAAACAAATAATTGAGCTAACACAAATAGCAAAATAAACCATTTTTGCTATCAGGAGCTGAATACACCAGTGATGGTTTAAATATCTAAAATGCGAATTGCCTGCCATACATGGTTCTAGTGCTGTTTCAGACCCTGGGATCTCTGGTCTATTTCTGGTCCTACACAACTGTGTACTTAAATAGACACTGCCACGTTGTTGAACCTCAACATTTTACCAACTTTAACATTATAGTCGGGTTTCTGATTCCCTCTGTTTTTTAAAAATATAACTTTCTGTTGCCAAAGGTGAAAGTACTTCAGCTTCCCCAAAGTGCTGTTATTATAGGACCTGTTTTTATGCATCTGAGGTCCCTTGCTGGCAGTATATCACCAATGAACTGGCAACCTCTATTTCTAGAGTTGATTTGGCATCTCCTACAGATTTCACCAGGAAATTGTGAAAGTATGATGGACCATGAGTGTTTGTCACCTTTTTTATTAAGAGGGTGTTAGAAATGGAGGCAGGACTTGAAATGTGTAAGGACTTGAAAATCAGTCTTAGTTCATACATTTTCCCTACTGGTCTTTTACAACAGGGGAGCAAGAGTTTTGGGCTGCTAGGAGCTGTTTTTTGCCTACTTCAATAGCATCCATTCTTTTAGAATGAGTGTGCGCTCAGATTCAGATAACAAAGCTTTGTGTAAAGGCTCTGTGAAAAGCTTGCAGACATTTTCTTTTAATATAAAGGTTGTTTAAGGACGTGGGATTTTGAAAGACTAGAAAAGGAGATGTAAAGGAGATAATAGTGGACAGTACAGTAACAAAACCTGGTCCTGTCATCTTCATTTGCTTTGTATCTACAAGAACAAAATATGTCCTTTTCCTGGCCTTGTTTGTCTCACAGAGAGGGGTTGGAGTCCAGATACCATACCTTTGCCGTATTCTTTTTTCCTAGTTGTACCTGAGAGGAAAGTAGCATTTTAAACCCGTCTAAAATGTCAGACAGTTTCTTCCCCTAAAGCAGCCCCCACCTCTGTGGCACATGATAAATTTGGGGGAGCTATGTCCAGGCTTTGTCAAAGGGAGAGCTATGTAGTTCAAGAGCTATCATGTTTCCCTTGCATTGGCTGTTTTTCAGCTGTAGTGAAAGTGATTCCTGTTTGTGTCTGCAGAGCTGAGGGAGTGAAGCTTATAAAACACTGTAGCTTCTTTCTGGCTTTAAAAACACTCTATAAATGAGGTCATGATTAATGGTAACCATTTCATGGAAATGGCCAGGAAAATTATTGTTCTGTAATAAGTTGCTTGCTTTTTGTTTTTTAAGAGAAGAGCAATTTGTTTCAGTTTGAGACGGAAAAATACATGAACAAAATCTGTCTTGCTGCTTAGGCTGAAGTCTGCCCTACACCATTACGCTCAGCAACAGTTTTACAGTCTCTCTCAGCTGCCAGTCCTGAATGTTTGTAATGGTCTCTCTAAGCCCCTCCCTTCTCATCACTGGTATTTAAGTGTAACATCAGTATAGTCGGTGTCAGATTCCCAGCTTGGAGAGTGTAAATCCCAGTGCAGAAAGACTTGCATTTTCTCTCTCTCTCTCGTCTTGTAAGTTACCTAGAAATACACTTTTGACCCCTTCTTTTTTATTTTAACTGTCATTTGTTCTCAAGCTGCTTAGCACTCTGTTTTTTTATCAGTTATCTTGATAGACCTGAAGTATGTTTGCAGATGTGCTGTTAAAATAATTACACAATCTGCCCACACATACGTGCCAAACCACTATTTCTACTTCCTAAACTCAAATACACTTCCAGGAAAGAGCTTTACTTTGTTTTTAAAATGCCTATAGTACTTCCTGAGCTATAATCCTGTGACCAGTACCAACGCTAATGCTCCTCTTTTATATGATCCTAGAGTTTTAAGCTTCATGCAGGAATCTCTCCATCCATTGTTGACACGTAGCTGCTATTTGACTTTGAGCAGGATCACTATGCAAGTTTTAAGATTGAACAGTATTAATGATTGCAGTTTAAATTGCTGTGTTCTGCAGACCAGAAGTTTATCTGCTAGTTGATTTTCAAGCTGGGCCAGGGAATCAGGATGGGATTTTCATGTCACCACCATAGAACCTACAGTTTACATGTCAAAATCTGATAGAGACTGTAGTAATGAAAATCAAGAGTATAGATGACTCCTCCAAGGAAGCATCTGTGTTGGAGCCCAAAGCATGAATCCTTTATTTCTCAGTCATAATAGGATTAACATTTTGCCATCTTAAAAGATACCTAGAAATGGAAGAGTAGGTTTGAAATCAAATGCTGAGAAAGGATTGAAACATTGTATAGTGTACAGCTCAATACATTGTGTGGTGTACATTTGGTGCTGCAAAAGCAACGTAACTGTTGAGAGCATCTCCAACTTCTTATGTTAATTCCTTGCAACTATAATGAACTCCAGCAAAAAGGGAAATGCAGTGGAGATTGTGCTTTGATTTTTTTCTCAAAAAATGTAGCAAGATGGGAAACGAAATTCCCTGAGATGGGATGTAAAATACTAATGAAAGGGAGTGAATTTGGAAAGGTTGCCTCACTTCAGCTGCACCTCAGATTGTCTATGAGAGACTGTCTCCTGGCAGTTTGATACTCCATCTGAATTGCATCCTCTCCTTTCACGGTAAATAAAACTAGAATGACAGAAAACAAGCTTATGCTTTTTGCTGTCTTTAGCCCACAGCCCTGTGCTGACTGTTGGAGGGGGTGTTCATCCTTTGCCTTGTGTCAGGGACTATCAGTAATTCTTACCATCTTTGGCTGTGGGGGTCCTTGGCTTTTCCATCAGCTTTTCTTGAGCCCTTTTTAAGCTCCTTCCTCAAAAGTAGCATTTCCATTTTTTTTTTCTCCTGGCCCTTTGTCTTCTCTGCTGTCATAGAGACACTGATGCTTCTTCTGGAAAAGCTGCACAGACTGTTGGCAATAGATGCAGAAATTATATAAAATCCAGAATGGTTAAGGACAACTGTACTTAGCCAATTGTGCATACCTGTGCCAGTATGCCAGGCATTGTACCTGCCACTTCTTGCATCCTCACAGGAACAGGATTTCTAGTTGTGCAACTTGAACACGTCATTTTTTCCCACTCCATAGGGAGTATGCTCCTGCTGTGTGTTGTGCATAATATCTCTGTACTATTCAGTTACATTGCCTTTGTGTTATCTGTGCCAGGTTTTCTTTTAAAGTCCCACATTCTAATACAGAATTTTTCCTCACCATAAGTGCCGATTTTGGTTTTTGCTTGAAGGTACTTTTTGCTTTTTTATTCCTGCT